ATCAATTTTATTTTTTTATGCAGTATGGTAATAACAAGGTTTACAAAAGAACTTATCAATTAAGACAGGCACTCGAAGAGGAGGTACGACAGAAATTTATTTAAGTCAATGACGTTCTGTGAGAATAGCTAGTAATTCAGTTTTAAAAAGATGCATTTATGTACTCAAAACAATAGTAATTCAGTTTTAAAAAGATGCATTTATGTACTCAAAACAATGGCGGATTTTTTAAATATTTTCCAAAATAACTTAAAGTGTATGAAGTGATATTCTTTTTTTAAGTTTTAGTTTGTATAATGTAAATTGCAAAGAACCGTTTGATAATATATTCTGTTTTTTATAAGTTCTAAATCATAATAACTAATTGAAATTAGCCAAGAAAGATAAGAATTAATAATAACTCAGTGATTTTTCGAAAAAAAAAGACATATTATAGCTTATATCGCTGAAAAGCTTAAAAAATGGCGCTTTCTATGAAGTCATGGCCAACTATGGTTTCCATTTAAAAAAAAACATATGTTTGTGTCATATGTCAAAAATGATAGGCTTTAGAAAAAATCAGAGAACAACTCAACTCATTAGGGAACTATCTACAACGTTTATCTGAAAACTTTTTGTTAAAAATCGATTATAATGGAATAAGGGACCATTTTTAAAATACTTAGCCGAAATTAGTTTTTTTCGAAATATCTAGTAAGCCATGAGCTTTTTTCAAAAATCTGAAAGGCGCATATTTATGACCCCACAAAACTGCAATTCTTTCCCCATTTAACCGACTCTCTATCTCAAGTAGTTTACGAGATACCCATAGAGAACATCGTAGGAAACTCATCCTGTATAGTATCTAATTAATAAAAATTATTTGAATCACTTTTACAAAATTTGTATTAAAATATCAATATTTTTGATAAACACATGGACTGCTCATAAATACACGTCGCGTCACTACGTATTTCTAAGCCGTTAGGCTGTCCTTACCACTTTTCGTCCCGCGCTTGTGTGCTTTGAATTTTTACTCCCAGCACGAGTTAAGAAATTTCACTTAAAAAATTATTATTTTTTAAATAAACTGAATATAGAATTAATAAATATTAATTAATTTACATTAAATTACATATTATTTAATTAAAAAAAAATTAATTTTAATACCTACCTGTATCTAAAAACATTTCATGTCTAAAAAGTTCTGAGCCACTTCTATATTAATCAATAAAAAATAAATTCTTTATTAGTACCTACTAATTTTTACCTAATTATCAGAATTATTTATTTTCCACAATTGTGTCAATAATAGAGATGAGCAGAAAATCGCAAACTGCGATTTAATCGCAGCGATTGTAAATTCGCAATCACAACCTGTGATTCATTTCCATAACAAACTGCGACTTGCGATTGAAACATATATCTGCCGATTTTGGATTTTTAGGCAACCAGTATTACACCAGTTGCGATTTGCAATCGCAGTGGGCACGCGAACGAAGAGCTGCGAACGAAAATCACAGCATTGCGATTTTCGTTTGCACCGGCGGTGCATCGACACGGCACTGAGAAGCCGAACGATGAGCTGGGAACGAAAATCGCAATATTGCGATTCTCGTACGCACCGGCTGGCGGCGGCGCGTCATCAACACGGCAGTGGGCAGGCTGCGATTTTCGTTCAGCTCGAAAATCGCAGCTCATCCCAACATTGCGATTGCGATTTTCGTTGGCACCGGCGGCGCGGCATCGGGAGTGGGCACGCCAACGAAGAGCAGCGATTGTGATTTTCGTTCGCAGCTCTCAACACATCGGCCTAGACTAGATCGCAAAATCACATTCGCAATCATGGCCCCGTAATTTTTATGAAGCGTTGGAAAATAGGCTTATATTGTTTATATACCGCATAATATATATGTATAATTTTTTAGTTTTAAATTTTGATAATAGTTTTAGATTTATAATATAATTATGGATTTAGAAGGTTAAAAAATTCTTGTTTTCGGTTATGACTAATTATAGTTACAGTTGCTCCCAGGTAATGATTCAGGTAAAATAATTCATTCAAGGACAGTTTTGGAATCAAATTATAAAAAATTATCTATTTTTATCCTTTATTTACTAGAAGATATAGAGCACGAAAAAGAAACAGCCCTTTCTCTTTATTATATTTTGTTATATGTATATTATATTATTATAAACATTTTTATAACAATCCATAATATAATATAATTTTCTGAACAATTGTGGATCGGCTGCTATGTTAATTTAAATACATCCTTTACAATCAGTTTTTTCATTTTAGAGAAATTTCAAATATAATAAAATGTGATATTGTCCTTTTATTTATCTAAAAGTTCGAAAGTTTGCACTTGCACTGGACGGGCCGTATCAAAGCCGTCGGCGTCGGCTTCTTTTGAGTTACATATAAAGAAAATGTTTTTAAAAGAAAAAAAAAAGATAAAATAAACAGTTTTTTTTCTCGTTATCTGAATTAAGGTTGGCGGCAACCTTTTTTATAATAAATTTTTCGTTAGTATACCTACAGACTGTCTAAAAGCACATTCGAATATTTTGAACATTTTATGTATTTTTTTCCCAGTTAAATTTATTCGGTCTATTCTTATCAAAAAGGAAACTAAGTTATTTGTGGTTTGGTTTGGTTTGATTTTTTTTTGGTAATTGATGAAAATTTTAAGTGCAATATGTGTGCAGAGCAAAATATAATAAAAACACTTTAAAAGGCATATGGCATCGAAACACCCAACAGTTTCTTTGTAAGATTTTATTAAAAAAAGTATTCCCCTATTTATTCTGTTTTTTCTCAAAAATTTTGGGATTGAGCTTCCCAGTTTACAGCGTATCAATTTAAAAATATCAAAATCGCAATCGCAGGTTACAGTCGCAGCGATTTACAAATCACAATCGCAGTTTCAACTGCGATTGGAAAATCGCAGTTTTGCTCATCTCTAGTCAATAACACTGCAAAATAAACTTGGTAAAACAAATATAATCAATACAGTTGTTATTGGAGTATAAGCAGTAAGTGTATTTTAATCTTACGTGTTTCATTAATCCAATCTAAGAGTGTTTTTACTTTTAGATAAGTAAACCCTTTCAATAATCACTAATTCTTAAAATTAATACTTAATTTTAAGGCATGTGAATCAATAAAAAGTATTATATCTTTTAAGTTGTTTATTCTGTGGTATAGAGGCTTGGCGCATTCTCTGCCGGTGCTGCCACTATCGGAGAATATCGTAAACAATCGATATATACAAATACACAGGTTTAAATAGCGAGTATACGAAAAAATTATTATTTAATTATTCTAAAACTGTTAGGAAGTATAATTTGTAAATATTCTATAAATAAAAATAAAAAAGTAAATATTTTGAAAGCTTGAGAAGGTGTAACTTGTATTATAATTTTTTATTCCACCTAAAAAAAAACTACGGTAGTGAGCATTTTTACTAGTGGCTTTGCTAGTGAGGTCATAATTGGGGCCTATTTCGGCTATAACGAAATTAGTATATGTCTATTTAATTTTTTGATTATGTAACGAGCACTTTGTTTACTCACTTGTTTCGTCGAACTGCTTGAATTCATTTTTGCTTCTGATCAAATCGGTGCGAGGAACTATGAAGCTACAATATGTTGTTTCGGGAGAGTTAAATATTATCCGGGAAAGTTGAGTTATTGAATTTTATTGCACCCAACAACGCCCTAACTACGCTCTCCTTTACGCGTTAAGTTTTTTTTATTAAATAACTGCACTAGCAAAAACTAAAATACTTAAATATTATGACAAAACCCCGATTTCAATATTATTTTAATGCGATCGGCGCGGCGTGAATATATTGATAATTTCTGATTTCTGCCGTAAAGTGCTGGATATTTGGTTAGCAGTGATTTCCGGTTATTTGGTTAACAGATTTTTCCGGTTATTTGGTTAACAGCGATTTCCGTTTATTTGGTTAGCAGTGATTTCAGGTTATTTGGTTAGCAGTGATTTCCGGTTATTTGGATTCCGGTTCCGGTTACAGTCGGATTTTGTTGAAATCAGCTGAAAGCCTATAGTTTCAATAACTGCACTAGCAAAAAACTAAAATACTTAAATATTATGACAAAACCCCGATTTCAATATTATTTTAATGCGATCGGCGCGGCGTGAACTATATATTGATAATTTCTGATTTCTGCCGTAAAGTGCTGGATATTTGGTTAGCAGTGATTTTCGGTTATTTGGTTAGCAGTGATATCCGGTTATTTGGTTAAGATCGATTTCCGGTTATTTGGTTAGCAGTGATTTCCGGTTATTTGGTTAACCGCGATTTCCGTTTATTTGGTTAGCAGTGATTTCCGGTTATTTGGTTAGCAGTGATTTCCGGTTATTTGGATTCCGGTTCCGGTTGCATTCGGATTTTGTTGAAATCAACTGAAAGCCTATAGTTTCAATAACTGCACTAGCAAAAAACTAAAATGCTTAAATATTATGACAAAGCCATAGTTCAATATTATTTTAATGCGATCAACATGAACTTTAACTGGAACGGCGTGAAATAAATTGCGAAAATTTCTTATTTCTACCGTATACAGCGCTGCGGTCAAAATTTTTTGAAATCAACTGAAATGCATCAAGCTTATATACTATATAGTGCTTAATTATTTTATGAACATCTTGTAAGATTATAATTATGTGTACCTTTAAAGGCTTTAAAACAACTCGTTATAGCCGGTATTTGTTCGACGTCTATGTCTATGAACTATGTTTATGAACTTGAAATGTGTTCGCGTGCAATTAGCAGCTCCGTCCAAACCAGAGAAAAGCGTTATATTTTTCTTTTTCCACCAACGACAATCTGTCAATACAAACAGCGTACTGCTGCTCACACGGCGGGGGGATTGTTGTCGGGATTGTCCGTCTTTAAATATAATATAGAGTCACCTGACGTGCATTCGTAATGCCCGCCCAGGGGTAAATAATGATAAGTTGGAGGTAAGCTGGTAGATTTACCATATAAGTTTCATTTGGACGCGGTTAGCCGAAGCGGTAACGCGTCAATAACAAATCGTCTCTGTCAGTTGTCGCGCAAGAAAAACAATTTCTAATATCTGTAGTGTTGAAGGAATTTAGTTTTTTTCTTTGTGATGTTTCGTTAGTGGTGGTTAAAATTTTTCAAAAAGGAAAAAATATTATAGGTAATTCTTTTTGTTTTTATTTTTTTTAATAAAGTAAAATAATTTTAATGTCATTTTATCAAAAACTTTTTCTTGAAGAGTTGTATTTAAATATTTTATTTAAGTTTATTTTACCAGTAAAACTCCACAAATAGAGCCATAACTCCCTTGGGACATTATTCAGTCAAGATGCCAATTTTTTTTTTGAGTAATAATATAAAATTAAAATGAACAATCATCTAACTTCTCTAATAATTTTATTTACATTCTTAATGTCATCCCTTGCTGCAATATGTATTACAATTATTTTAATTGAATAAAATTACATTTTTTAGCTTGCCATAATATTATGCTAAATTTACTGATATACAGGGTGCGTGTCAAAAGAGGCTCACCACTATAACTTTTTTATTTTTTCAGATGAAAACGCCAGATTTAATATGTTAGTATATGACATAAATTAGGATTGATTGTAGTATTCAATTGTTTTCGGTCACTTCCTGTTTCACCGGGAATGACTACAACTTTTGATTTTTAAATGGCATCTTCGGTATTTTTTTACTTTATTCAATAAAAAATGACACTCTGAATAGAATGACATATCATTTGCCAACTTTTGATATTCTCGCTTTAAAAAACATTGTATTTTAAATTTCAATCTAGAGTGCTATGGCTGTGTTAAAAACATTAATTTTTAATCAAGGAACCTTGGAAAAATAGATTTGATGGTCTAATGTGTTTCGTGTCCTGGCCGGTTAAAACATGCCCAAATTGTATTTTCAATCATATTTCAATTTGATCAAATGGAACGATGTTGGTTCATGAGCATATTTGGAAAAAGCATTTTTTTATGAATAATTTGGTACCACACACTTGGTATTTCGAGTCAAATTGTCGTTACATCTTGGCAGTCTAAATTAAAATTTAAAATTTTATTTTTTTTAATTGAAAATGCCAAACGTTGACATACGCCATTCTATTCAGAATGACATTTTCTATCTAATGAAGTAAAACAATACCGAGAGTGTCAAAAGTCAAAAGTTGTAGTCGAAAATCAAAAGTTGTAGTCTTTACCGGTGAAACAGGAAGTGGCCGAAAAGAATTAAATACATCAGTCAATCCTAATTTATGTTATATACTAAGTTACAAAATATCGTTTTTTTATCTGAAAAAATAAGAAAGTTATAGGGGTGAGCCACTTTTGAGACGCACCCGGTATAATTAGTGTAAAAGGCTACCTGTAAAATATTAATCAAAAGATTGCATTTACCTTTATTCTCTACTATAATTTCATATAATATAGTTTCTACGAATATTGCATTATAATCAATATAATTATACCTAAATGTAAATTTACAATGTGGTATAATAGTTCTATTATACAAAGTCTAAAATTAGATCTATTATTAGAGCATATAACAAAACGAAAAATGGAAGAAAAAAATCTTATTAATTTCAATTTTATAGTTATCAAAAGTTTTGGAGGTTATATCAAATGTCAGTGTATCATTATCAAATGACAATAATACGTTTAGTGTGTAGATCTTTAAAACCATATAAATTTATAATGCTTAAAGATAGGTTTAAAACAAACGTAGAATACTTTTCATGTAATTTGTACTATAATGGCAGAAACTAAGTTAGAATAGTAAATAAAATTACATAGATATAACTAAAAAATGGTTTTTGTTTCAGAAAATGGCTACAGAACCAGATACGGATCATACAAGCCATAATCCCAATCCACACAGTGATAGTACTCCATCAGCAAGAAAGGTAGGTACCATAATCTTTTTCAAATATTATCATCATCATCATTATCAGCTTATTCAACCATTTCCAATTATGGTGTAGCCTCCCTCACATATTTAGATACTCTCTCTGCAGTTGGGCCCATTGTTGGCTATGCTGGCTCAAGTTATCTCTGCTAATTTCCTAATATCATGGTCGCATCTCAGGTTTGATTTTCCTCTAGGCTTCTTAATTCCTCGTGGGTACCATACTGTAATTTGTATGGTCCATTTGTTGTCCGTCCTTCTTGCCAGGTGTCCTGCCCTTTGCCACTTGAGGCTTGAGGGATTTGATTCTGTGGATGGACGTCTATTACCTGGGTCTTTTGTCATATCCACTCTATTCTTTTACGGTCTTACTTGGTTATTCCCAGCATGTTTCGTTCCATTGAGCGTTGTGCGACCTGCAGTTTCCTTAGGCTAAGAACATAGTGGAGCGACGAGGATAACGGCGAGCAAGCAGCGCGACATCACGTCCAAAACAAACCTGTGAAGACAAGTACGTGCGAACATAGTAAAGCGATCTGCTCGAGCGGCGAGGTCGATTGAAATAATTTTGTTTTCGTCGCTCTGTCGCGTCGCGCTGTAGAAAATGATAAATTCCAAAAATTAATAGATTTAGTATCTGTAAGAGAGATTTTATGGGATCAGAAAGATAGTAGTCACCATAGCCGGTACATTTTAGATAGGTAAGTTATGAGATGCAGTGGCAACAAATTTTCATAAAGGTATAAAACTTGCCACACTTTCGCTGGTTTTTGAAAATTTCATATAACCAAATGTTTGCGACAACAATAATTTTAGCCACTGTTTACATTTTAAATTATCAATAAGCAAATGAAAATAATAAATTTGCACAAGTACCTCGCCGCTCTACTATGTTTCAGCACCTCGAGGCTTGCTCGACGCGGTATCGCGCTGCTTGCTCGCCGCTATCCTCGTCGCTCTTATCCTTGTCGCACTATGTTCAGAGTCTGCGATTATAGTGGAGCGGCGAGGATAGAGGATAGCGGAGAGGTGAGCGGCGAGGTTCGTCCTCTTTTAATCAAACCTATGTATTCATATGCAGGTGCGTATAGTGAAAGCGGCGAGGCGAGAGTAGAGGAAGGCGGTGCACATAGCGGCGCTAAGAGAAACAAAAATGTTTGTTTTTAATAGCGTCGAGGATCGCGGTCGGGAGGGATCGTCAACATTCGTATAAGTTCGTAGCCACCTGAGGTATAGAAAGACCGAGGAAATAAAAAAAAACTTTTCATCATATAGTTTAAATAGTCTCAATTTAAAATAAAGACGACTAAACTCTCCGTTTTCTCTTCGATCTCTATTAGCGGGATGAACAGACCATCTCCTAATTCTTCTTTGCTGGGAATAATTATGCAAGATACAAAATTTAGCAGCCGTATTTTCGCTAAGTAAGAGCTTTCGCTTTCGATTACTTAATCGGACCATTGTCGAATTGCTACTGGAAAATATGTCGCACAATTTTTGCTCTATCCTCTCCGCTTTTACTATAAGTTTTGCGACGCTATCCTCGCCGTTTACCGCGCCGTTACCCTCTTTCCTCGCCGCTCCCTTATAATTTCAGCCTTTGCCTTATAATGTCCGTTTTAAGAGTCCAGGTTTCGCACGCATAGGTCATGACTGGTACTGCACGTATACGGTACTATATTATATTACTTATAAATAGCATCAATACTTTCAATTTAAAGGTTTTTTTTCAGAAAATATCTTTTTTGTTTTGTAGGAAAAAGAAAATTTCGGGAATAAAGTTTGCTAAAAAATTTTCTAAAATTTCATTACATAATAATTAAATAAACAAATTACTAGAAAACATCATTTTCCTAAAATCTCGGAAATTACGTAACGAAGTGAGATGTGACCAGAATATTAGGTACTTAGTAAAAAATATATTTTACTATACATTCTGGTGTAATAAATAACTTAATGAGAAAATAAATGAGAAATTGTTATTGACAAATACTTAATTAAAATTCAGATATAAATTTTTAATGGTTCTTATAATTACTATAAAATTTAAATTGGCACTTATGATTTTTATGTTTTTTTATGACTATTTCTCTATAGATTACATATTATATCTCTTCTTATGTAATTTTTCTCATTATTATCGAATAGGAAATTAGAATTTAATAAATAATAGTCACTTTTTTATATGTTTACTAAATAATAGTTGTATCACAACCTATTTATAACCAGCCTGTCGAGTTACAATCATTTGCATGGAAATCTGCGAATTTATCTATAGATAATTCGTTTATCTTATGTTGGTAACATGTCGGGACTCAATTTTCGTTTAGTTATGTAAGAAATATTTGTTTATTTAGTATTTGGAAGCGTTTCCAAATAGAAAGTCACGAATAAAATATCATAAATAATAATTTCTCACATTTATGTCAGCATGAGAAAAAACAATCGAGAAACCCCTCCTTATCGAACCTCTACACCCCACAGTCAATCCGTTTGCCAAAAATCAGCTTTAAACGTCAAGCAGTTTAAGCAGAATCGTGATTACTCAATGGTCATATGAAATACGACCATTAAGTAATCTATATGATGTAGTAAATTATGAAACACCCTGTATAAATTTTAAAAAAATTTTAAAATATGTAAAACAACAAAATAAAATATACGTGTTTAAGAGTTTTTCCGAAAAACTCACCGATTTTTAAATAAAAAGTATTCTAATATTTGAGGGGTTGTTTCATCCCTTAGAAAAATCCCTTCTTATCGAACCTCTACACCCTAAAGTCAACCCGTTTTCCAAAAATCAGCTTTTTACGTCAAGCGCTTTAAGCAGGATTGTGATTAATCAATGACCAGATTTTTCGAAACACCCTGTATCCATTTTTAAAAAATCTTAAAATATGTAAAAAAACAAAATAAAATATAGTACCTGTTTAAGTGTTTTTTCGGAAACTTGACCATTTTTTAAACAAAACATATTGTAATATTTGAGGGGTGGTTTCACCCCCTTGGAACTGGAATTTCAAAAAATCCCTTCTTATCGAACCTCTACACCCTAGAATCAACCTGTATACCAAAATTGAGCTTCTTACGTTGAGTAGTTTTAGCAGGATCGTGATTAATCAGTGAGTCAGTCACTTAAGGATTTTATATTGTAGATACTAATATACTAAATCTTTTTTTTTTATCTGAAAAAATAAAAAAGTTCTAGGGGTGAGGCTAGATTTTTAAGGCTTAAGATTTTTTGTTTCGTTTTTTATAAGCGATTTCAACTAAAAAAAATCACCCATTTTCATTTCGGGTCTAAATTTATTCAAAACATTGAACCACCATAAAAAGAAATCGAAAACACGGGGTCCAAGAACTCGGTCTAATTATAATTGCGATCACACAAGTAAAATTTGCGGAAATTCTTTTTTGTTAAAGTCTATTTCTGGCACGTTGTTACTTCGTTTCGCATACTAATTGAACTATTATACTGATTATCACTCTTTCTATTGTTTTGTAGTGAAAATATTAAGCCGAATTTAACGCCAACATGTCGATTTTCGTATATCTAATTGTACAAATTAAAAATTTAGAAGGGGAAAAATGTGTATAATTAAGTGATTTTGTTGTTTTGAGTAATTTTCTAAAGCAATTGGCAAGAAAATAATTAATTTATAGTAGTTTGTTTTTCTCAAACTTCAAGTTATTATGTATTGACAAAAACGGAGTGATCAACAATAATAAAATTGAAATTATTGGAAATACTGTCTTGAAGGATTTTAAGCTTCGTTCAGAACCTCGCAATTAGTGGAATAAATTAGTGGTTTCAATTACACTTTATACTTTTTTTCCATAGTAACTGTTAAAATTGCCTTATATCCATCAAAAATAGTAGATAAAATAGTACTTAACCGTAAGGGTAAATTAAATGATACTTTAACAGTGAGGATAGGTTAAAAACTTGATTTCTTCTCGCACGTTTTTTAATTGCTTCCAATTTTGAAAATGTTTGTATTCCTTTTCATAAGTTATTTGGGATTTAAATGGAAGTAGTTTGGATATGGCGTTTGTCGCCTCAGCCTGAATATCTGTTGGTAATTTACTTATTTCGTTTTGAGCCATTTCTGGCTCCAATTCAATCAGCAATCGACACGAAAGAGAATTAAAAAATATTGACTCAAAACTGAAAACTAAAGAGCCAGCTTTATTTATTTGTCAAATTACATAGAAACCAACGCCAACCCAGCACAATATTTTTTCAACTCGTAATAAATTCGTTGAAATAATAATTTCTGAATATTTTTTAAAACGTAACTCGCTATGGAAAAAAATGTTGTTTTATACACGAGTCCTGTAATTTTTTTTTATTAGTTTACGATCATTCACAATGTTTAAAAAACAAAATTAATAGAATATCCTAGCAAAAGCTTGCGTTATTCAGTTGTATCCATAAATAAAGCCTAATATTTAGCTTATAAAACAATCAACTTTGGATTTCTAACCACAATTTCTCTTGACGGAAGATAATCAAAGGCCAAAATGACATTTCTCGCAAATTTTGAAGTATAATTAGTGGAAAAGTTAAAAGTTTGACAACTTTTTCTATTAATTGAAAATGTCTACCACTAATTTTGATGTTCTGAATGCTTACATTGAAATTAAAGGAACAAACTTTTACGCTAATTGAAACCACTAATTCCGAGGTTCTGAATGAAGCTTAAACAATTCAACCATATTTTCATGTTTTTGGCAATTTTCTCTAAAACTGTATGGAAATTTGAAAAAGTATAAACGAGATTAACCATTTTAGAACAAGCAAACATTTTTGTATGTACTGTTTACTAATTATAGCCTGTCTTTTTCAGGTCAGTATTGTGGAACGTGGTTATGAAAATCATGCTTTCGAATCTCCAGCGAGAAGCAGAAAAGTCTCGGCAGCATCGGAGCATGCTGAAGTGGGCCCAGTAAGGAAAAAAAGCATTTTACATTACCACCATGTCACCAACGCTTTTGAACAGGACGCAGTTAAAACAAGTATGTTGCTTAATATATACAGGGTGTCCCAGAAATATGTGCAAGTATTTTAATTGGTAGTATAGTTCAACCCGAGAAACATGCCTGAGGTTTTTTCGCGATTTTTTTTAAAATTCGGAAATTTTTGAATTTTTTTTTGAAATTTCTTTAGTTTTTAGTTTAAAAACATAATTTCTAGTTAAAATATAACATAGGAAGTAAATTAAATTTACAAGAAAGAAAATCCAGAAAACATCCAGTGGTTCTCAAATTTTAGCACAAAATCATTTTTTTTTTGGAAATTTTCAAAGTAAAATAACTCCGTTATTTTGGGCTTATTTGAAAAACGATAAAGAGAAAATATGTTTCTTTTATCGAGATCTACCACCCCTTAAAATACTTGCACTTATTTCTGGGACACCCTGTATTTTCCTAATTAAGAAAATACTAAAGGTGCCCGGTGGCGTACAGGTACAGCCCTCGTCTACCAATCTAAAGGTTGTGGGTTCGAATCCTACACCCGGCATTTCATCAGCCGACTATTTTTATTAGAATTAAAATAATTTGGGTACCTAGGTCGACTCAGCCTTAGATGAGTACTTGGGATTCACATTCCTGAGGTAATAATAGGCGGTTGAAGCGTAATGCTAGCCACATTACTTTCCTTGTATACCGAACGGCTCTAGCATGGCAAGCTGTACCTTGCTACTCCCAAAGGGTTCAACACTATATACGGGAGCTATTATTATTATTATAAAAAAGTACAACATTATATTTCTATACCGTATTTTTTTTCAAACGGAAGACACCTCATAAACGTGTTTCTGGGGTCGAAATATACTACCCCTAAAGATATTTGCACTTAATACTCCTCTGTACAGACGACCCTGTATATAGATGTTCTTTTTTGTCACTCAAGGATGGTCCTGTAGGTACCTGCATAAAACTACCGAGTAAAAAATATACATTTACGACGTTTTTTACGTAGAAAATTTCTCTTAGTAAAAATCGCTACTAGTAATGGTTCTCAAAATATTTGGAATCAAAATTATCAATACCTGTCGTCATTGACATAAATTAAACATGTTGACTAAATAGTTATTTCTGAAATTATAAATTTGAGGTGCTCGGTGGCATGGCATAGAGGTACAGGCTCTCGTCTACCAATCTCAAGGTGTGGGTTCGATTCCCACACCCGGCATTTCATCAGCCGACTATTTTTATTAAAATAAAAATAGTTTGGGTAACTAGGTCGACTCAGCCTTAAATGAGTACTTGGGATTCACAATCCGGAGGTAATAATAGGCGGTTGAAGAGTAGTGCTAGCCACATTACCTTCCTTGTATACCGAACGGCTCTAGTATAGCAAGCTGTACCTTGCTACTCCCAAGGCGTTAACGCTATATACGGGAGCTATTATTAATATTATAAATTTGAAATGTTTTCTTGCCAAATGTTCAACAGAAACTGTTTTATCATCATTTTCTCGAAGACAAATTTATGATTAATTTAAAAAAATAAAAAGTTCCCAAATTTATTATTTCAGTCAAATAACGTTCTACTCGTCATATGTTTATTTTTTGTCAATAATGACATTTATTGACTATTTCCATTTTAAACATCTTGAGATAGGTTGCTCGTAGCGTTTTTTTATCAAGAGACGACATTTTTTACGTAAAAAATTACGGAAATATATATTTTATCACTCAGTAGTTTTATACAGGTGCGGACGAAAAGTTATTACTCTTCAAATCAGTTAAAACACATATAGGTGGCGTCCTCTACAAATAGGAGTCATATTGACCTCAAAATCAAATTTCTCATGTCAAAGACTCCCAGTCACCAATTTTCATCTAAATATTGACGTTACTTCAGAAATTATTTAGAAAAAATCGAAATAAAAATGAAACTTCTACACCCTAAATCTCGGAAACTAAGCATTTTAGGACATAATATATTTATACGAACTTTTTTGGTTATTTTATCTGCAGAATATGCTGCCGAAGTTTACGGAATACAGTTCGGACCACCCTGTATATCAGTATACTCAGAATCATTATTTTTCGCAGGCTAGTAGGTACTTCACAAAACAGAAAAATAATGTTTTCACTGAAAGATATTTATCTGTTATTTACTACATGTTCTATATGTTTTTCTTAGCAATTATCGACTGTATATCACATATCATTACATCTCGTATCAATATTTGTAGTGTAGTCCATCAAGCAACAAAGTCAAGGTGTAATTGATAAAGATAACAACTGAAATATCAGAAAAAAAACGCCTCAAACTATTTGCAATTTTAACACCTCGGTGTTTATTTGCTTTTCTATTTTTCTTTTTGTTTATTGTAATTATTATTATTAATAAACTATAGTAAATAGGGCAACGTGATCCGGTAGACTCATACTATTTGTTTATTTTTGGTAGGTTAATGTTAATGAATATCACATTTTTTTTTAATTTGTCGCTAAATTTATCACATTAGGTACATTGATAGACAGAAAATACTTTCCCGGATGGTTCAAAATATAGTATACAGGGTGGCACCTCTCATACGACGCGGAGGCTCTACGAAGAACGACCGTTTGTGTTAAAAGAAATAAAATTTTGTGAGGCTATGTACTATGTAGAGCATTTTTTTAACAATATAGGGAGTTTTACAGAGTGTCCCTAAAAAATATCAATCGATTTTCGGATTCTAGGAGAAAAATAAAGGTGAGTTTTATTAGAGAAGGATTTTGAGGTCATCTAGGATTTTGAGATATTTAATATTTTCTTAAAATTAAGAATACATTTTAAACTTCAATAATAGCTACCTATTGGAATTTACCTGGTATAGCCTAAAATACGGGGTGTTTCAAAAAACATGTGCCATCTCTCGAGAGACTCCTCTTTTGCTAATAAAAGGAAAAAAAGTCAGTGGCGCACATGTTGTGTGTATAACCCATATGCACGTCCTTGGTGAATCTGTCGACACTTTGTAGCATTAAAATATGTAGCACTTATAGTAACTTTTACCCTCAAAATTTCATTCAAATCTATTAAACAAAGTATTTTTTTCCTGATGTTTTCAACTAGTTATTAATATTTTATAAATCAAATGTGTACCTCTTTATTACCGTTGAATATTGTGCTCTACATCCTTTACTTTTTGTTAAATTAACGTTGTGCATATCACAGCCACCTAGATTTTATCAAATAATAAAGATCTATTGACACTAAATTATAAAAATGAAAATAAGTAGGAAAATATTTGTCTGAGGGGTAGGCAACCTTAACAGTATTTTGATGAGGCTTGAATTCTCCATGGAATATCGGAACAATATACTGGGTGTTCCATTTGAAACAAAAGAGTAACTTGTTTTTCAATGTGACCAATGTTCAGTATTAATTTTGTCTCACCCTGTATAATTTTTCGGGTCAATTTTTAATTTAATTAAAAAGTTAAAAATGGTTATTTTAACTACATATTACGCTATACCGGGTAAATTCCAATTTCAGTAGCTTTAAAAAAAAAATTTAAAATCTGTTCTTCATTTTTAGAAAATGATAAATATGCCAAAAACCTTACATTTTAGTTATATGCTTCTCTTATAAAATCCACCTTTATTTTTTTTTCTAGAATCCGAAAATCAATTTATATATAGGGTGTTTGTTCCATTACAACAAACACAACTTTGATGTATAACTTTTTTGAGGACACCTTGTAGAACTCTGTATAATTTTAAAAACGCTTTAACTTAACCTACATATGACCACAAAATTTTATTTCAGTACATACTGTCCTTCTCCTTAGAGCTTCCGCGTTCTATGAGAGGCGCCACCCTGTATACAATAATTATTGTAAGACGAAATTTTTAAATTCATGTCACAATTTTTTATTCCAGTTAATATGATAAATAGTCGTTTTAATAAAATAATAAATCCTCAATTTGATAAAAATCTAAACCGTTTCAGACACTTATTAAAAATGGCGTTATAATCACAATAATATATTTCATTACAAGCTATTCTTACACATATACTGAACGCACCTCACATATATCGATATGTTAGTAAATCGATACATATGTTTTTGTTGATCTGAAAGTCGATAAGTATATAGTTTTTGTGCTTTTATATTATTACAACGGTTTGTTTGGATTCGTTGATACCTAGTCAACAAGTATGCACTGTAGCGAGCGAATATTTAAGAGTTCTAGCGAAAACGATTTGTGCAAGTGTTCGGTGTATCTGGATCCTAAACAGTTTTTTCTCTTAGATAATGACAGGCAGTACACTAACGGGGACACGGTCAGAGACAAGAAGCATTCTACTACTGAGTCAGTATATTCCAAAGGATCCACGTATTCCAGATCGGCTAGATATGAAGACAGCAATGCGGGTGATCGGTAAGTGTATACAATTATTGTAATTTATTAAATTGAGAAATAATTAGCTGATTTGAGATTTTAATTTAACCTAGTTATCAATATACAGATTGTTCTAAAAAAGGTCTATCCACATACAGGGTGACAATTTGAAAACGAACAGTATTTAATATTATCTCTACCGATGATAATTGAATATTTACATATTACATATCAAGAGGGACAATTTTTGAAGCATTTGTTGTCGTGTTACTTTCAACCCTTTGACCCCCAGGGCACCTACGTCTAAAATTTTAAATGGCAACCCCTATTATAATGCAGTTTATGTAGAATTCTATAAGAAACACAAAAATGGTAAAAGAAATAGGGGTTGCTATTTAAATTTTTAGGGGTAGGTGCCCTGACGGTCAAGGGGTTGAAAGTAACACGACAACAAATGCCTCAAAAATTGTCCCCCCATGATATGTAAATTGACGTGGTTTGCCAAATTTTCACACTATCATCGGTAGAGGCAATATTAAATACTGCTACTCGTTTTCAAATTGTCACCCTGTATAAACTCAGATACAAAAAAACACAACGGAGAAATTTTTGGTCAAATTTAAAGTGTTATATTTTTGTTATTTTTAGCCCTATTTTCATGATTTCATTCATTTTAATTCATGTTTTGGTTAATTTTTCAAAGCGAAATACTGATGACGATCAATTTGCAATTTTTTCAATTATCATTACTTTTTGATGTAATTTTTTAACATGACGAGATGGTTTTTGTGACTATAGTCGTAATGTTATATTACTCTGCATTGAATACTCTATACTAAATTGAAAAAAAAACATTAAATACTAACGATACAGTCCTGGTTATAATAAACATTAATAACGATAACAGAACTAACAATATTAAAGAAAACATCTGCAATACTAAAGTATACAAACAAAAAAAATTAAAAAATACCCTAATACTTTGTATTGCCTCCCCTCCCCCTGGCTGCTATAACTGCCTGTATACGTCCGTTCATACTGTCATTGAGGCTGCATATAGGTATATCATATTGCATTATGCTTTCCCATTCTTCTTTAAGAACGATATGTTATCTATGTCGAATGGCATATCAAATATGATATGTCATTCTCTTCAGAGTGTCATTCATTTTCTATCGAATAAAGTAGAAATATACCAAGGGTGCCATTTAAAACTCAAAAGTTGTAGTTTTTTCTGGCGAAACATACCATAATATTTGTTTTTTTTTAATCGAAAAGATAAAAAAGTTATACGGGTGAGCCACTTTCGAGACGCCATCCGGTATAAAAAATTACTAACTATATTTTTTCCTATTTTTAGATCGTGGTGGTACTCGTTCTGTGTCAAATGCCGCTCTGAAGCATCCGAACCATCATGGCAACCATCGGTGTGGCCCAAATTATGTCCTTATCCATTTTGTCCCACATATCGTCAAATATCCAGGATATTAGCAGTAGGTTTAATAGGTAAGTGATACGATAAAATTCTTGTTTTTTTAATTTAATTTGGTACTACAATAAAAAAACACTTCAAACTTATTTTGAAATTCATATTTAGGAGGCCTTAGTCATATGCAATCAACATAGTCAATTTTTAAAACAATTTTTAGGGTTCCGTACCCAAAGGGTAAAAACAGGAACCCTATTACTAAGACTTCGCTGTCCGTCCGTCCGTCTGTCACAAAGGTCTATCTTATGAATCGTTATAGCTAGACAGTTGAAATTTTTACAGATAATGTTCTATGTTGCCGCTATAAGAACAAATACTAAAAACAGAATTAAATAAATGTTTATAAATAAAAACGTGCTTTCACTAAACCTTATCTTTTAAGTAAGAATTTTACATAGAATCTTTCTCAAGTCCTCGGTGGCCGCGTGGTTAAAGCCTTAGGACTCTACGCTGCTATGACGTTGGAGCCGTAGTAAGGCAGGTTCGAATCCTAGTCAAGACGACTTTTTTTAATCGTTTCTTTTTAATTTTTACATATTTTTACATATTTATTTTTACTTTTTACATATTTATTATTGATTAATACAATTTTTAGTAATGTGTTTCTTCATTTTTTTTTAAATTACTTATACGCGCATTTAAAATTTCAGCTAATTCGGAAAAAAAGTTTATAATAATATTATAGTGTCTAATGTTGTATAGATAATGGATGGTACACAACCCTTGGTGCGCGAGTCCGACTCGCAGTTGACTAATTTTTTAAAATATTTTTCTAAGATTCACAATGTACGCTCCTTACATAAATTTCACAGTATTTTTTTTTAAATAGGTCTTCTGGCTTGGTGTGTCTTATATTCGATAGTGGGAGCTACAGCAGCCCCACCGAACGGCGTGTTGTATCAACTGATCCTGCTGAGTATTTGCGCGCACATCGGTGGTTGGTTGATGACTCTCACGACGTTGCCAGCTCTCATAGGAATGCTATTTACCGGGCTGTTGTTCCAGAATGTGGGGATAGTGGATATCAATGAGAGTTTTTCGGAAATAACTAAGGAGCTAAGGTAACAACACGTTAATGTACACAAAAATTTCTATTGTATCATTTTGTACCATACAGTCGGAGAAAAAAACGGTGTCAAAGACGGCTGGGGGATTACAGTTTATGATAATTTTGGCAAGGTCAAGCCCTAGACGTCTTTTACTTGGCCCGTACTTTTCTTGATTATTTAATGTCACTTTTGGCCTTAAGAAGCATGATGAATAATGTATGATGAGATCAGAAATAAAATGCATGACTAGATCATTACGTGTATAGCATTATACTTATAATTTTAATGTTTTTGTGTTTTTTTTCTAGGCATGTAGCACTGGTTATTATCCTTATCAGGGCCGGATTGGACTTGGATCCTCAAGCCCTAAAACGCCTCAGGTTTACATTGGTGAAAATAGGTTTGATTCCATGGACTTGCGAGGCGATTATCAGTGCTGTCCTTTCCAAATTCTTCCTGGATATCCCATGGAACTACGCTATTTTGTTGGGGTCTATCGTGGCTGCGGTGTCTCCGGCTGTAGTAGTCCCTTGCTTGTTTAAGTAAGAGTTTGGTTTTGATGCTACCGTATGATCGAAAAAAAGGCGTCAGCGATGACTATGAAATGAAAATCGCTGTCTGATTGATCTGATTATATGAAAATTTATATGGGAAATATCATTGTTTGTCATTTCATAGCCATCGCTGACGCCGTTTTTATTCGATCAGACGGTATAAACGAGTTAAATAAATTTAATTTATCTACGTCAGTGAGTTAAGAAGCTCTTAACTCACGCATTTTCATTACCGCACTCCTTGTTTAGATGACTACCAAAGAGAAAAAATATTTTGTAAAACATTTATTTTGCACTAAATACAAATAAACTGTTCTATTAATAATAATTAATGTTAATGATACAGTTTGAACAATCTTTCAAGTAAATGCCTGATGAAGCATACATATTCATTTTAATAGATATCATAGTACGTATCATTGAATAGAAAGCCCAAAGAGATGAATGCTTATAGCGGATAAATTGGAAAAATATGTTATGAGTGCCTTTTCATTTCCATAGTTGATGTTTTTTTTCCGGTGCACCATTTTTCATATTCATACTTCTGTTTCGATCTTGCTGGAAGCAATCCAGAAATGGCTCTGAATGCCTCTTCTTCAATGTCAGAGGGAATACTTTCCGAATCGCTCAATTTTTAAACTAGCGACATCAATATTATTTATTGTCATATTGACATTGCCATGCATGGTGTTATTTGAACAAAGGTAATGGATTTTTAGGATAGGTACATATATAGTTAAGTACAATAATTTTTAAAATTCATTGTGTGTTTTTATAGTTAGATGAAGATAAAATATTGTACAATACACGCGAGTTAACTCCATTAAGATACTTGTGTGGTTACACAACTCGTGCTACGCACTCGTGCAACTTTCGCACGCGTATCTTAATGATGCTCTTAACTCACTTGTATCGTAAATATCTATAACCTTACTTGTAACAACCTTTATGTTTATGTAAGATATTATGCCTTAAAATCCTAAGTAAACCCAGTACACTGGTTCAGAAAGTTATAGAACAAAGAACACATTTATTTATAATATTAGCATCATATCCTTATGAATTATGACAAAGTAAATGTAAATTTAGAAACGCAATAAAAAATAATTTAAAGGCATTTTTTTTAATTTTCAGATTGCGTACCAAGGGTTACGGTGTTGCCAAAGGCATCCCTACACTCATTATCGCCACCGCAGGTATCGACGATGCCATATCTGTGGCTATCTTCGGTATAGTCAAAAGCATAATGTTCTCTAGTGCTTCCGTAACACAGTTGATTCTACAAGGACCTGTATCCATCTTGGGTGGCATTGGTTTTGGAGTTTTATGGGGCGTAGTGTGTAACTATATTCCAGAGAAACATGATCCGTTTATGGTAAGTTTTTTAAGAATTTAGATGCTGAATTTACCACCACCCTAGAGTTTGGTTTAAAATGAAATTAATAAATTATATACACACACCGGAAAAATCTAGGGATATCATTTTATTAAAGTTAAAAATAAATGTTTTGAATAAACAACCACATATTTGTAGGCCGATTCTTTCTACTTCGATTGAAACGAAGTAGTTACACTAGTTATTTCTAAATATGGGATATTTGCAGAAGCATTTTTTGTCAAATGTATAAAAGGCACCTAGCATCAATTGTTCGAATTTAATCTGTACTGCCTATGTTTTTATGATAACTGACCAGAATTCATTCAAATAACTCTGTTTAGTATTAAACGACATTATGGAGCGTAGAGATCTTAACAGAGACGAAATGCTAAGGGCCATGGGTATGCTCGAAGCTGGAATGCCCCAAATCGACCTAGCTAGAGCATTAAATACAACGCAAAGTGTAATATCGCGATTAAGTGCAAGCTACCGTGAAAGTGGTGATGTTGCTGAAAGGCACACAGGGCGACATCGCATTACTACCCCTCAGCAAGATCATTTTTTACAATTAAATGTTCGACGCCGACTGACTCTTACAGCACCAGAGCTTAGTTTAATTCTCCAGGAAACACATAATGTAATCAATACCTCATCAATTAAACATCTTACCCTGGCCGGCACAATCTCCTGACTGCAACCCCATCGAGCACGTATGGAACGCGGTCCAAAGAAGAATTTTGAGAATGGGTATGCCTCGAAAAACTCGTAGGGATCTGGTTTGGGCTCTGAATGCAGCGTGGCAGGCTGTACCTCATCGAAGAGATCGACAACCTGATCAGGAGCATGGAGAGACGATGTAGGGCTGAAATGAACAGTAGAGGAGGCTATACCCTTTATTAAGTAAAAATGGTTTTACCTTTTTTTTTAATTCACAGTTTAGAATAAAAAAAAATGTGTGTATTTTTTTGAGTTCAATAAAAATCAAGGTAAATTTGAAAAATTCGGTAAATTTCGCATTTTTATTTCCAATACGTCCTGTAAACTATTTGTTTATTTTAATTTTATTATATCAGAAATGCAAATAATAAAATTACTGACGATGGCTTGATAAAATTGTAATATCCCTAGACTTTTCCGGTGTGTGTATTTATTATTAAATATTATTACTATTAGTCCAACCTACAGTAATTTCAAATAAAAAAATAATGCTATTTAAGATAATTGCAAGAAGGCTAATTTTGAAAAGTTTTATTATCCTATAACTCTAAAACTATGCATTTCCATACCCATGTTTATAGGAACTTTTTTTCATATTTTTGATGAGGAATCAATGAGTACTTATTTAAAACTTTCGCAAGTTAATAATATTAACATTTTTTAAAGGTTGCTCTTAGACTTGGATCAAGGCAAATTAATAAAATTGCATTTATCTCATAAAGGAGGCCGAAATCGACAAAATATCAAGAGTAATCGGCATTAAACTGCTTACACTATTTCGCTAACAAGAGAACCCTAACAAGTGACTTGCTCATTCTTGTGACTGCTTGTGTCAAGTCACAAGCCCAAAAAAGCCAGTAACGTTAACAAGCCCTAAATATTTGTTTTCTCTTTTTAGGTACCACTCCGGATCCTTCTCCTTCTAGTTGGTGGTACCGTTTCAGTCTTTGGCAGCGAACTCATAGGCTACGGAGGCGCAGGCCCTCTAGCCTGCGTAGCGGCCGCTTTCACCTGTCTAGTTTCCTGGTCCAGGCAGGGCTGGGACATAGAGGACAACCCTGCTGCCACTGCGTTCGAGATTTTTTGGATGATCTTCGAGCCAATCCTCTTCGGTATCACCGGAGCTCAAATCAAGTTCAGCGAGCTGGACGGAACCGTGGTTTCGATAGGTGCTGGAGTGCTGATTGCTGCCATAGTGCTGAGGATATTGATCACGATAGTGGTGGGGATTGGGTGCAAGCTGAACCTGAAGGAGAAGGTGTTTATCGCGTTTTCGTTGATGTCCAAGGCTACAGTACAGGTACCTATATTTGATACCAAATAAACTTTTAGTTACGTAATTGAGGGCGCGGTTTTTAAATTCATTGTTGCCAACCGTGGAGATATTCCGCGCCGGGCTGTATAACTGGAATTTAAATTTCCCGCTGGGGATTCAGGTGGTCGATCTGCTGTAAAAAATGTCAACTTGCCACATTAATTTATTTATTTCCTGCCATTGTCCATAGATAAAGGAAACGAGTTTAGATTGGAAAGTGCCCATAAGGACAATGTAAATACTATTTGGCGCAATTCTTACAACGGTCGCTCTCCAAAGCTTTTTATAATTTCGGAACAGTTCGAGTTTTTCCGGAATTATGTCGCCAACTATTATTTATTCACATTTTTTTAATTTTTTAAATTAAATACAGTGTGTTGCATATAAGAAACTTTATTTTACTCGTATATTAGGACATGTATGAAATACCTATGAAACATTGAAAACCGACGTTATGCCACGATCCACGATAGTTTAGCATTTCACAGTTCACACAGTTTTTTTAAGTTTTTAATGCCACATTTTCACAATTATCACGGGTTTGAGTAAATAAAATTTAAATTAAATTCACAAGATAGCAACAATTACTTTGAAAATGGACGCTTTAAACATTTTTGGGTATTTTTTCAACGAGGGCAGTTTAAAGTTAGAAAGATTTTATAATTTTTAAAGATTCTGACTTTGACAAGAGAAAATTATTTCTGTTCTTGCTTACGGTTGTTCTTAGCAATCGCTATAGCAGCACAAGATCCCTTACAAACTATGCACCCCAAAACAATTATAAGTTTTGGCGGCAAGCCGAGTATTCCAATCTAAACTTGTTTCCTCTATTTATGACATTTTAGTTCCTCTAGTTTTGACATTTTACTTTTGTTTTACGAGTTTTTGTTTAAATGAATGATGTTGTGATACTTTAAGCTTAAATTTTTTACTAGCAGACCTTGCTAAGGATCTCGCAAACCGGAAGTGATGCCATCTTTGTATCACTTCTATTTTCTTTCCGTATGTCCTCCCAAATGCCATGATGATTTTTTACCAGATTGCAAGAAAAACATCTTTTTTATTGTTCAAAAAATATATGATTTTTATTGTTTGAAACAGTTTTTATTATTTTAACATGATTTTAACTTCAATAAGTGATGATGTTTTCAATTTTTATGTTCACTGTCTAAATCGTCCTCTTTCTGACTAGACAAAGCTTAAACCAAAGATATTAAAACATACAAAATTTATTTATCTTTGGTTTGAACTAAAGTTGCAAATCTCTTGTTTGACAGACTACAGGGTGGCCCATCGAAAACGTTCCGCAAGGCATAACGGCCAGGGTATTTTTTTTTTCAGAAAATTCAAAAACACGTCAATTTTGTTTGTGAGGGGGACAACTTTTGGCCCAAAAATGATTGCAAAATCTTCAACCCTCTAAGCGGGGGTGTCATCCCCCAACTTTTTTCAAATGGGAAGGGGGCTCAAGTGGCGCCGCAATGAAAAGGGCTTTCTATTCTCTATATTTCCCCGCTTCGTTTTTAAAAATCGGTCGAGTCATTTTGAAAATATGAAGGATTGAAATTTGAAAAGTACTTTTTGCAAAAAACGCATAAATTGAATTAATTAAAAAAAAACTTAATTTATTAATGAAGCAAATGCTGAAAATGTTGCCCGTCAACCTCCATACAGTAATACAAATTATTTTCAAACCGTTCTCGAACATTCTGAAGAACTTGCGGGGTGGGTCACTTCGCGACAAACATCAATAATTCGTCTTCGCAGGACTTCTAATGAGGCGGGTGGAGTGCTATATACTTTGCTTTTTATGTCTCCCCATAGAAAAAAGTCTAAAGGAGTCAAGTCGGGTGACCGGGGAGGCCACTCAATTGCACCCCTTCGTCCTATCCACCGACCGGGTAAATTATTGTTCAAAAATTACGCACATTTTGAGAGCAATGTGGAGGTGCACTATCTCGTTGAAATATTAGTTCCTCTTCAATGTATCCAGGATTGTTCTCTATGATGTCAGTTAGGGCTGGGTCGATGGTATTTTCCAGTAAATCCAAGTACATGTCATCTGTTGGATTTCCAGGAAGAAAAAAAGGACCCACAATAGAATTTCCAAAAATACCAACCTACACGTTCAATTTCTGAGGGTTTTGTGTGTGCACCTCGTGAAAAACCCTGGGGTTGTCCTCAGCCCAGTACCGACAGTTGTGCCGATTAACTACACCGTTCAAAAAGAAAGTACACTCATCCGAAAAACACACATTAAATAGGAAATTATTATCATTGGCCACTCGTTCACTCATAGTTTCACACAATTGCAAGCGACGATCAAAATCGTCTTCGTTGAGTTCAAATACCAACCGAATTTTGTACGGATGGAAGTTGTGTTTTTTTAATAACCTTTGGACACTTGTACGATTCACGCCGGTCTCGTTGACTAATTTTCTTGTACTCAGTGTATTATCCATGGCAACTTGGCCCAATACGAATACCTCCATAGCTTCATTTACTACAGGATTTTCCCTCTGCATCTTTTTATTTATAACGAAACCAGTTTTTTGCTACTAACTCGCGAACAATTTTCCCATAAACCTGTTTGTCAGGATGGCGTTTATTGAATATCTGCGCAACCCGATTGCCACATTCATTATTTTTAAAATTTAGTTCGATTATTTTTACTTTTTCTGCAAGTGAGTACACTAGAATTGTCAAAAAGTTTAACGATATTGAGAAGAACTTCAACGCACAAGTCACAGAACAGCTATCTAGCAACTACCCCATCTGATCGCTCAACCTTGTGGCAAGTGAAAAAATGCGTAAACATCTAGAAATAATAAGAAAAAACAGCAAATCGGTTGAAGGAATTTATCCTTATCATTTACTCTGATAAATGTTTAAATAAACTTTTCAAATTTCAATCCTTCATATTTTCTCAATGACTCGACCGATCTTCAAAAACGAAGCAGGAAAGTATAGAGAACAGAAAACCCTTTTCGTTGCGGTACCACTTGACCCCCGTTCCATTTGAAAAAAATTGGGGGATGACACCCCCTCTTAGAGGGTTGAAGATCCCCCTCAAAAACAAAATTGACGTGTTTTTAAATTTTCTGAGAAAAAAATTACCCTGGCCGTTATGCCTTGCGGAACGTTTTCGATGGGCCACCCTGTATATATAATGTATAGTCTGTCCAACAAGAGGATCCATTGCAAAGAAAGTTGTATCTGTCATTTTAATTTACATGAAATGGAAATTTTATTTCCTGTTACTTTTTCATTCAACTGTCAAAATATTTTTTGATCCATTGGACAGACTGTACCTAATAATTTTTTTGAAGTGAAACTTCTTTACACGCGCGTTGGCAGTAAAAATTCAAGCTAGCGTCAGGAAAAGTGGTAACGGCAGTGTTGTCACAGCTACTTCATTCGGGGTAGATATTCTTTGTAAAACAATTTAACTCGCTTTGGGTAACGATTTGTGCCATACGAAGCTAAGAAAATCAGTATAATAAACTTGATACTCTACCCCTGTACCAATATCCTCTAGTATAGTATATAGTATATTTTCATCGATAGATCTGTAGCTTCTAAATAACGGTCTAGGTAAAGCATCTAGCTGAGTTGCCAGTTTAGAATTCGAGTTATTAGAGTTAATAACTCGCATTTTCATGGGAGGATACTTTCATATTTATTTCAAAATGAGATAATATTCGTATAATTTAATAAAATTATGTAAATCACTGTAAATACGAATTGTTGGTTAGAGTCAAAATTTTTTCTCTTCTTAAATAAATTTAAGCATTAACATTATTAGGTATTTGCATAAAAGTTTTTTTGGGTGGTATTCCATAAAATTTGCAGGCTATTGAGGAAGCAGAAAATGTACAGATTACAGAAATAAATTTAAAATAATATTTATATTAAAACAGCATTATATGTCACTTTTTCAAACATGTCCTTCAAATCGTTCAATTTAATAGCTGATAGTTAGAAGTTTCACTTCAAATATGCTCACATAGTGCCCACACAGTTTTTTTATTTAGAATATTTAAAATCATTTGAAAATTATCAATTTCAGGCTGCCTTAGCTCCAGTAGCCATGGGCGTCATCTCGGACCACACCTCAAAAGAGTACGGCTACGCAGAAAAAGTCTGCATGGTCTGCATCCTCTCCATAATGCTCACCGCTCCCACCGGAGCCATACTCATCACCCTTTCCGGTCCCAGATTGCTGACCAAAACCAAAACGCCACAGATCACAGATGGTTGGAGACGATCACATCGGCCTTCCATCAGAGACATCAGTATCATTGATGAAGAGGAAGAAAGAGGTGACATTGAAAGTACTATAACTAATTCGCCTATTAAGAATATCATTTCTGATGATATTAAAGGCATAGATGTCAAAACAAAGCTTTAGGAAGCTAAAAGTAATGTAAAATGATTGAAATAGATGGAATCTATTGTGATTTTTATCATTTGGTTAGTAATAAATTTAAGAAATTCGAATATTTTTCGGCTGTTATCACTAGCCTCAAAACAAACCAAAAAGTAAATAGTATGATTATTTTTTTAATGATATTTAAATTAGTTTTCCATATTGGTGAAACTAATCAAAACGAGAATTAATTCTAATTTAATTATTGGACAAGTATCTCGAAATAAATAAAAAATATAAACGAAAATTTTTTGGTCCATAATTTGTTTTAGCATTGGTATCAATCACTAATTCTAAAATGCCCTAACACTGTATTGCCAACTATTTCAATCACTGAGCATTTATTTGGCTCCCATGGAGCTACATTCCTGTGTTAAAATTTGCTTACAATGGTAAATAATCATAATTATAAAGTTAAAATTTCATTTAAAGTAAGTTTTAATCACAACTTTTTGGTTATTTTATTATCTGCAATTATTAAAAGTTTTATCTTTAATAATTTTATTATCAAAAAGTTGTATTGAATATGTAATAATCTATTGTCACAAATGTCAAGCCAAAACTTACTATAATTCGTGCTTAAACTATATTCTTCAGTTGATATGATTATTTAGAAACTTTAATAATGCTTAAAAAACTCTACCTATATTGCAAGCTATACATGAAGCAAACTATTTCCTATAATACTATATTTATCAGTATTAAAAGGTATACTGCTTTTATAGTTTGTACCTTCATAAACACCAATATACTGTGATTATAAATAAATAAAAAAATACTAGAATTAGTTTCTCGAAAGTATTGAAAATAAATTATTCCTATAATTATTAGAAAAATAAGATATTAAATTCTACCGTTAGAGTGGTATAATATGATTTATAACCTAATATACCTATATTATTTAAATAATATTATGAAAGAATGTAGATTATATGTTACTTGATTTAATATTCAAATTCCTCACATATATAAATTGTACGTATTAGGAAAACAGGGTGATCTGTTACACAGTGTGATACCTAAAAAATTAATGGTATAATTTAGAAATTGTGTATCATAAATAACTCGGTTGTGAAATTAAAACTTGTTGCTACGGTATGATCGAAGAAAATCGACATCCAGTTGGCTTGAAAATGAACATCGATGACGTTTCCCATATACTTTTACATATAAAATAACAGCGATCTTCATTTCATTATCAACGCTGACGCCGTTTTTTTATATTGTATTTTACACAACCATATCTGTATTTTTGTTCTTATATTCATCCTAATCCTAATCTATTCAGTATTATAAGTTAATGATTACTTATATTTCTTCATAATGTAACAAGAGGCGCACAAGAAGCTCATTCGTTATAGAATTTTGTAAAATAAAATTACTGTAAATATTAAATTAATTATTAAAAATGTCAAAGTATCTTGCCACTCAAACAGAAATCTAAAGTATAAAAGAATATTTTTGTAACTTTTTATTCTCTTCCTTGTCTTTTCTTCTTTCTCCTTAAACGTTAAGTTTTTTGTTGGTTAGGCAGGTTTGTTAACGTTAAGACTTTAGATAAAATCTAATTTTTATTTTTAGATTTTTGTTTTATTGGCAAAATACTCATATTTTGCAAAAAACTTATTGTATCTGTACTCTTTACTTATATTATACAGGGTAGTCCGAACTGTACTCCGGAAATTTAAAGATAAAAATAAGTAAACAAGTTCGTATAAATGTATGTCGGAGATAGAGGGTGCAGAAAGTTGGTGTCTGGGAGTTTTTTGACACGAGAAATTTGATTTTGATGTCGATATGATTCCTACTTGTAGGTCGCGCCACCTACACGTGTTTTAACTTTTTGAAGAGTAATAACTTTTCGTCTGTATAAAACCCTACTGAGTGAAAAAATATACATTTCCGTGATTTTTTACGTAATAAATGTCTCTTGATAAAAATTGCTACGAACAACCGTTCTTGAGATATTTAGGATGGAAATAGTCAATACCTCTCATTATTGACAAAAAATAAACATGTTGTGTAAATAGTTATTTGACTGAAATTATAAATTTGGGAAATTTATTTCTTTAAATTAATCATAAATTTTTCTTCGAAAAAATGATGATAAAACAGTTTCTGTTGAACTTTTGGCACAAAAACATTTCAAATTTATAATTTTAGTCTAATAACTATTTAGTCAACATGTTTATGTCAATGATGACACGTATTAAGAGGTCCTTTTTACGCATAAAACGTCGTAAAAGTATATTTTTTTACTTAATAGTTTTATACAGGTACGGACGAAAAGTTATTATTCTTCAAACCAGTTAAAAAAATATGTAGGTGGCGCCCTCTATAAGTAGGAGTCATATTGACATCAAAATCAAATTTTTTTCGTGTGAAAAAATTCCCAGAGATCAATTTTCATCCAAATATTGACGATACTTCGGAAATTATTTGGAAAAAATCAAAATAAAAATGTAACTTCTACACCCTGTATCTCCGAAACTAAGCATTTTAGGACATACATTTATACGAACATTTTTACTTATTTTTATGTGCAGAATATGCTGACGAAGTTTCCGGAATGCTCGGACCACCCTGTATATAGATCAGGTATTAAGCTTTTTAGTTATATGTATAATTAATTATGTTAGATCTAAAGCATTGTATTACTTTATTGTATATAGTAAAATGTAAATTTATTTTATTATTAAAATATATTTGTATTACAAATTTATCAGTTAGTTGGTTGCTGATTTTTCATGAAATAAACTATATTTATTTCGTAATGTATCGTAAAACACTCGTTTACATACTTATTTCAGTTCTATAGGCAATATTTATTTATAATCATTTATTAAATTGACAAATAGTATTAGGCTAAGAAAATAAGGTTTAAGGTTATTTACAAAAAATTGACATAAAACTTGTCAAAAACACTAATTAAAGTATGATAAAAATGGATAGAACGTTTCCAGACACACAAATCTATTTCGAAAAAAAAATTTTCTCTTTTTTCTCTAATTTTAAACTACACCATTTAAAAATCATTTTTACTCAATATAAAATAAACACATACAACCTTCTTAAGGATAACTAGCAGTAATCGCCACAAAATAATATGGACAAAATAATGACGTCTAAGGTTTGATCTCGCCAAAATTATCATCGATTGTCAATCCCCAGCCGTTTTTGACACCGTTTTTACACCGATCGTATGGTAGTTAAGCTGTCCTAAAAAAAAATACAGGTGTTTATTGAAATAGGCTTCATATAGAAAAAAAAACACATTTGATTAACTTCAGTATAGTATTTTTATTTAGAAAAAATGGACACACGTCCTGTCATTTCATATTTTTTAAGTAATCTTTCTTTCAAATGTACAATAAAGTAAGAGCAAGGCGCTTAGAAAAAACGTAACAATCAACCGTTATGACATACCGTCCATATCAAAATATATCGCGTACGTATAAACAACACATGGAACATTCACAAAAACAACAACAAAATTTGTATACAGAGCGCCGACGAAATGGTCATACAGGACGACAAAAAACTAGGACAATTTTGTTGGATAATTCAATAATGAATTTATTATTTCAAACAGAGCGTCACAGAACAAGATTAAATCGTGTGGGAGTTTTATTTTTGATTTATTTAATGTCAATTTTACTCATTACATTAGTTTGGGAAACCTACCACTTATGATTATGATAATAATCATAAAGGGTAGATTAACAAAAATCACAATTTGTTGTTATTTACTTTTTTATAAGCGATCTACAAGTGATCTACAAGTACATTGGATTTTTTGTTACTTTTTGAATGTCATCTGTTGAAATCTTCCCTATTCTTTGCACAGACATATTTCAAATACCGTTTAAGAAAAGGCTAAGAAATCATTTTGTTGGCCATTTATATTTTTAAATGTCAAAATGGAGAGATAAAAAATGCTTTTAAATCGATTAAAAAAATCCCAAATAATATAAATTTTATTTGTGGTACTCCAATACATGCTTTAATCCATAATTGAATTATTCTGTACAAACCTTTCAGCAACGCCCTGTATAGATATATGAATAACCGAAGAGTAGTATTCCTTTTCCTATATAAAAAAAATAAATACCTATATACAAAGTATCGAAGCGTACCTTTAAATATTATAATTTAATATAATAAATTACTTTCAATAAATTGATTCTCGTCCTATTTATTTACGAATATTTTTATGAATAATTTTTCGAATTTATTCTTAAAACTTTTTGTTCTCAAGGTACTCAAGGATGAATGAACAAATTATGATCCATAGATAAATGAAACAAGTTTAGATTGGAAAGTGTTGATACGGACAATGTAAAAACTATTTGGCGCTGTTCTTGCAGCGGACGCGATCCAAAGCTTTTGAAGAACTCGGAGCGGTTCGGCTTTTTCCGGAATTATATCACTTAATACTTTTTATTCAAACTTATTATTAGTTTCTTATATTTTCATAAATAAAATACATGATACATATTTTTTTTTATTTATATAAACACATTTTTGGTGGGAAACCTAGCATCCAATCTAAATTTATTTCCTTTATCTATACAGGGTGCTTCAAATTCGAGGTACGAGCATTGGCATCTCGGAAACCGTAAGAGATACGAAGATGGTTAAATTGGGGCAAAGTTGCGCTTTAGGATGTTCAACAAGATGCCATCAAAAAAGTTTTAAAAATTTCAAGGATTGCTGAGTTTTTTTGGAAAAAACCCGATTTTTTGAAAATCAATTAAATTTTTTCCTGGCGTTACTTTTTAGAAAATCAAAAAACTATTTGCACATTCTCATGGCTACTTTATTAGGGCTATCTGATAGTATTTTTAGATTTTCAAATTAGCTGATAATTTGTGAGATACAGAGGCCAACTTAATTTTTTTAAATACGGACCTGCATTTTTTATTTGAAGTTCTGAAAGAACTCGATCTCCTGAGTACAATGATATGCCACACTTGATGCTTTATTTTGTTTTAGGTACCTTAACAATAACAAAACTATTTAATTATTATTTAAAATAATTTCAAGTCCCACTCTGGTTTTTTAAATTATTTAATCTGATTATATTCATCGCACCAATATGGATCAGCGCTAATTAACAGTGAATCGAGCCAATTGAAAGATTCAAACAAATAATACTCAGGTCAGCAATTTAAAAATATAATTTATAACTTTTTTTTGTTGTTTTTTTGTAGATTTTCAAAAAAATCCGTTTTTTCCAAAAAACTCAGCAATCCTTGAAATGTTTAAAACTTTTTTGATGGTATCTGGGTGAACATGCTAAAGCGCAACTTTGTCCCAATTTAACCATCTTCGTATCTCTTACGGTTTCCGAGATACCAATGCTCGTACCTCGAATTTGTAGCACCCTGTATATGATCAGTGACAAATATCGTTTAATTTATCATCGACTAGTTTTCTTTGGAATTTAAGTAGGAAATTAAATATTTTACAGCACTAATTCTATACAAAAAACGTTTTTTTTTTATTTTAGTGTAATTAGATTGGTCAGTGAGTAATATAAGATTCGTAAAAACATGCATTTCGTAATACAAAACGGATTTTTTGTGTTAGGCTTTGTGTTGATTCAAGACTATAAAGAATTTATCAACAAAACAAAGTCTTTTTATGAATTAATTAATTAGAAAAAATACTGAATTTAAATAATAAATTATATAGAATCTCTATAATCAATTATTGAAAAAAACGTAATTAACAATTACTAATATTTTTATATAAATTTTGTTGTTCTGAGGAATAGCTGAATAATTACAATATAATATTTTCTTTTCTTTACAGTCTTGATATGTATTTTCAGATTCTATCCTTGTTTAATGATTACAAAATATTTTATTTATATTATCAACAGGTTTAGCTAACTAAATCTACAACTCTGACTAAAGAA